GATAGTTTTAACTAGTGCACTTCATAGTAAAACACTTAATAATTTTAACTATTGTTTAAAATTTAGTTATTATTTTTAAATATTAAAATATTAATTTTATATTTTCATTAATTATTATGCTAATAAAATTATCAATCCTCTTTGTCGAAATTAAAGATACATTTTTGTATATTCTATCCTTTTTTTTAATCAGTGCGTCATGATGCCAAATTGGTTAATAAAATATTAAATATTTTTCAATTCAAGCTTTTGTAGACTTCTACATGAATAATTAAGCCACAGAGTATCATCACAAGTTAAAAAAACGATCAACCCATTTAGTTGAATTCTCTCATAACACTGTTCGATTTAGAGGGGTCCCACTTTATAATAAAAGAAAACCCAATTTAGTCCCTAATTTATATATCCATTTTTAATTACAATTATATTTATCAATTATATCCTAAAAGTTTCCCACATCTCGACGGTTTTCTTCCCTTAATTTATGTTCATATTTCCTATACACTGTTCTCTGTGTATTAAAACAGTGTGTTTTTTGAGAAAATTGACATAAAGTTGCTGAGAAATTAAGATTGAGAATTGTATAAAATGTTTGTGTGTTGACACGAAATTATTAAATTTTATAGATCTGAGACCCGATTGAGAAGATGTATCGGCTAGGGACTAAATTAAGATTTTCCCTTGCAATTGAAGCTAAGATGCAGCTTCCTTGCGAGACGAGTCAAGGTCTGAAAAGGCGTTGCCCCGCTCACCTTCCTACGACTTTCTTTTGCAGATGGGAACTCGCCTGGGTATCTTCGGCGGTCAATCCATTAATCCTCGGAACTACCAGGAAGTTGCCTGGCAACAGCTAGCCAGGTCTTGGAAAGGGGCACGCAAAGATGAATCGAAACTTCATGGGAGCCACTGATCTTGTATGCATATACAGACACGGGAAAACTTAAATAGGGGAAATTATTCGGGCTAGAAGGGACTGGAGGGAAGGCAGAGCCTGTTTGAAATCAAAATGGGAGCCATGCAGATATTTGATGTCCGAGACAAGTTGGTAAAGAAACAAGGGGCAGGATCATCAGCATGCCCGTGCTGTGGAGGGCCGGTGATGGCTATGGACTATGATTCTCATCTATACTTTTGTTTCATCCCAATCTCCCACAAAAACAAGAGGAAATTCTCCTGCGTCGTTTGCTCCAGGCGATTGGTTCTTGTTCCTGTTCAGTGATATCTTTCGTCTCCCCCAGCAATCGTAAACAAGCTACCATGTCCACATGTTGTATGCAAGTGTGGGTCTTGTAGTTTAGCTGTGTGACAGCGATCATATATATGTTTGCCTCTCCCCGAATTGAAATAATAATAATATGCATTTGTGATTTGCAGGGCTCGTGTCCTGTGTAATGATCATGCACTTGCCTTTCTAAATTGTAGCAGTCCTCTTGTAGCATATTTACAAGACCTTGCTGTGAGACCTTTCCGATTCTTTAAAAAAAAAAAAATTTCCGAGTTGCAAATCATCAGATTAACCACTCTTAAATCCCATGGATTCTCGGAGATTTTAAGAACTCCCTTGCTATCTCAAGTTCTGACCAGCTTCCAATTATCTCTTGTCGGGGATCCCAGTTTTAATTCACATCAAGCCTAAGTGCGCGTTTAGTAGTGCGCGGTGGTTGCTTTTCAAATAATAAAAATTATTTGTAATATTAGTATATTAAAATAATTCAAAATATATAAACTATATTAAATTTTAATAAAAAAAATTATTTTTTTTAAAAACACAAGTAAACTATTCCTAAAGTATCACGCGGAGTCACAGACATCTCTCAGGATCTATCAAGTATTCACACACAATTCGTGCATGGTCAATGGTGCATTGCGTGGAAATTACTCTTCTTCCAAACAAAAAAAAAATCCATTTTTATCGCATAGAATATGCGCAGAGAAATGTCAAGTGATAAGAAAAACAAGTCAAGATACTTATCCACATCATTCTATACAATTTAACTATTATATTTAACAATAATGCTACAAAATTACGACTTATTAAATCATGATCTTAATATAGGACCCAGTTATAAATATCGATGTTCAAAAAGCTCGTATATGTTCTTTTAATATCTATCGTTATTTGAAAAGTCCATGTGTTTGCATGACTCTTATCCCATATCTTAACCCCACACACACACACACACACACACACACACACACACACAGAAAATGGTAAGAGAATGAGAAAATCTTAGCTTTATTTAAGAAAAAATAATATTAAAAGGGCCAAAGCCCGATAGCAAATGTCAAAGATTGAAAGAGGCAAAAGCCCCAATAATCCATCTGGGCCTTCTCAGACTCCCCATATAACCCCTCTAAATTATTTTTCCCATATATCAACGACCAAGATCACTTCTCGCTCTAAAATCCCTCCACAACCGTCAGATCCAAAATCAAAGTAACCTCAAAACCCTAAAAGAGAATACCACTCTCAGCCTCCTGCTATATATCTTCTCCTTAAAAACCCTAGCCCTTTCTCTCGGATCCTCCACAGCACGAGCAGAGCGGAGACGAGACACTTCCTTAACTCGGTGAGTCATCACGGATCTAACACTCGATTCTCCACATAACTTTCATTTCTCTATCTCGCGATCCCTTCTTATTTCTGCTGGCTGATTTTTGGTGCTGTATTTTCGCAAAAATGGATTAAATAGGGATTAGTTGTGTGTGTGTTCTAATATATTTAGGGTTAATTTTTGTGGTGTTAGTGAATAATGAAGGGGGCAGAGTAATTATTATTGTGTTTTTATCTGATTTTTTTATTTTGTTGAAAATTCAGATTCCTTTTGGTTCTGCTTAGGATTGGTTTTGAAATGGAAAATTTAGTTATTGATACTTGATAATTTTGAGGTTCAGTGTTAATTGGGAGGTTGTTAAATCTGCTTAGAGATGGGCGAAGAGGCAACTAAGGTAGCGGTTCCAGAGTCTGTCTTGAAGAAGCAGAAGAGAGAGGAGGAGTGGGCATTGGCTAAGAAGCAGGAGCTTGCTGCTACTAAGAAAAAGAATGCTGAGAACAGAAAGCTCATTTTCAACCGAGCTAAGCAATATGCAAAGGAGTACCAGGAGCAGGTATGCTTTGTTTTCCTATTTTGAATTACATCTCTCACTTTTTTTCTTTCTTTTTTTTTCAATTCAAGGCTAGGTTCTTGAATGCAATGTTTTTTGGGGAGTTTTTAGGAAAAGCAACTTGTGCAATGGAAGCGTGAGGCAAGGTTGAAGGGTGGATTTTATGTTGACCCTGAGGCTAAGCTCTTGTTTATTATTCGCATCCGGGGGTATGTTGCTCTTTTTTGTTAGTTTTTATTACGTTTGTTAAGTTTGACTGCTTATGTGATGTTTTTAATAAATACATGAGATTCTTGCTTGCAGTATCAATGCCATGCACCCCAAGACCAGGAGTATCTTGCAGCTTTTGCGTTTGAGACAGGTACGCTTTTAACCTTTAACTGATTGCAACTAGCTAGTTATGATCAAGTTATGCTGTATCAGCTAGCCATAATTTAGTTAACACATTACATTTCTCATGTAGCTAGAGTGACAATTTAATCAGTTTCAAGGTGTTTTTTTATGAGTAGAATATAGCTTTTTTATCATTATTAATTACCAGGCACTATCCATTTAGAGACCCTTAAGAACTCATTATGCTGCTTGTTTAAATTTAAACTCATGCTATCCTTTTCTTACAGATCTTCAATGGTGTCTTCCTCAAAGTAAACAAGGCAACCGTGAATATGCTTCACAGGGTTGAACCTTATGTGACCTTTGGGTATGCATCTTTGCTCTGCAATTTTGATTTTACAAATGGATCTTTGTTTTCCACGTCCCCATGTCTTTTTCTTTGGATTTTAGGTATCCCAACTTGAAGAGCGTGAGGGAATTGATCTACAAGAGAGGCTTTGGGAAGTTGAACCAGCAGAGAATTCCTTTGACTGACAACTCGATCATTGAGCAGGTTTGTATCTTTTTGCATGCACGGTGCCTGCTTGAGGATGGGTAGCATTTGCTGTATCTTTTTGCTAACATGCCATGATGTCATCTCAGGGTCTGGGGAAGCACGGCATTATCTGCGTGGAAGATCTCATTCATGAGATAATGACTGTTGGACCTCATTTTAAGGAGGCAAATAACTTCTTGTGGCCATTCCAGCTCAAGGCTCCATTGGGTGGTTTGAAAAAGAAGAGGAATCACTATGTTGAAGGAGGAGATGCTGGAAACCGTGAGAACTACATTAATGAGCTTATCAGGAGAATGAATTAGGCCTTGGCAGGTCTTTGGTATTTAGTTGTTTGACGTGCCAGAGGGAATCTGAGATTTGAATTTTCATTTTGCTATGGAAACAATTAAGTGTCGATTTGTCATGATGTTTGATTATTCTTCTATTTTGTCTTGGGAATTTTACTCAACTTCGAAAATTGTTAGGAAGGTTTCTCATTATGTCTCAAGATGCTGGGGAGTTTTTTCCCTAATCTCCATATTTATCATATTTGCTAAGGAACTGTAGGAACCATAATTTTTTTCAATGTTCTCTGGATCAAAATGCCATGAGCTTTGAATTTTCTGCCGTCTCAAGATAGGAAAACTCATATCGTGAGTGTTTACTTCTCTCTTCCTCCCCCTCTTTCAGAAGTTTACTGCTATCCATTGTCGAGGCTCATAAGGAAGGATGTTTGTGTGCTTGTACCTTGGGTTGATGAAAAACAGCTGATTACAAAAATCGTACATTGAGTTAAGGGGCTAAGGGCCCCCTAAATCCGCGAGGCAGGTTCAAAGTTTTTTAACAAAAACGATCGACAAATGCTAAAACAATGTGTAGGGGAAGGGCCTTCAACTTAAACGTAACCGTTCCCCTACGAAATTCTCTGGAAATGTAATCACCCGTTCAATTCCTCGCTAAATTTGGTATTGTGGCGCAATTTTTTTCATAACATTAGCATAAAAAGATATTAATTTGATATTTTTTTCATCCGAAAAAAAAAAATCTGAAAAGTAATGCTAAAACTAGTCCTCACTAAATCAAATCATACACGCTCACAGTTTTTAAAAGCTCATTGAACACAAGTCAGGCGCGCCTTCCCAGTTTCTTTCTTTCTTTCCCTCTGTCGATCAAATTCAGATAAGAAGAAGAAAGGATAATTAGCAGCAGCTGCTCATCGAATGGATTATAGCCGTTGTCGCCATCGACAAGGAAGCTGTATGACTTAGAGTTGATGCTGCAACACCTTCCCATTTTGCATGTTTTTTTTGCCTTCCTTTTTCTGTGTTGTTTTTCGTTTCTCGTAGCAAACAGCACTCGTGCTAAAAAGTCTTAAAATCACCAATTCTATTCTTCATTTTTGTTCGTGTGATGCTTCCTTTCTTTAACATTTTCGTCTCTCGTAGCAACTCTCCTGCGATTTATATGTGGGTGTGATGCTTGCTTTCTTTAACATGTTCTGGAAACCTTTGAAGGCAGGAATAAATGTTGTGCCCGTGCAACTTGCATGTTCTGTTTAGAGATAGATTTCATGCCAGCAATCGTTATAGTTCCTAGGGAAAAGTCTCCCCATGTTATAGGCAAAGAAAAAGCTAAGGAGCTTGAATGTCTTGCATGGTAAGTGCTTTTATGCTTTATGTGTCTGGGTGGCAATAAAAACTTTCTCGAGATTAAAGCTGACTCTTTTCCTTTCTGTGCCTTTTGTGCTGCATCATTGTCTTGTACGCAAAAACTTTGATCTTCTCTACTTTCCAACTTGTTTACCTTTCTGTGTTATAGGCTGAAGAAGGCCTTTCTATGGGCATTCAAGGGAATGGAGTTGCAGAACAGAGCTCCGATAATGCTTCGGTTGTAGAGGTTAGGGAGTCATTCCTCGTGCTTATGGGCCAAGTAGCTGTCTCTCTGGTGACCATTTCCACTAGCAATGGCAGCCATCATCCATCACCCAATGGCAAAATCCTGTGGGACTTTGCAGCAGGGAATTGTATCATCGGCTATATTTCTTTGTTTACACGTGTCTTGATCTGTGGACGTCAAAGAGGGCTTGCCACCCGAATTGTGACTGCGATTTGATATGCTGGCATATCTTTTGGGTTCATAGCTTGCTTGGTCATGTGGCTGCCAGATAGCATCAACCTGTGTGGATAGCTTTAGGGGCTTGTGAATTATGCTTGCCTACAATAGCATCAAACTGCTCCACATGTTAATCAGGATTCTGTCTACAGGTTTGGTCTGTATATGCACGTCGGGAGCCTCTGGCCGTGTGCTTTATGAGTACTAATAATGGATGAGTCCTTTGAGATCATTCGGTTTCTTCCCTAAGTAGTGAAGTTTTGATCCATGAAGGGGATATAGGAGTACCACATTTTCCAACTACAAACATGATATGATGGTAATTAGTACAAGATCATTCACTCTTGATAACTAAAGTAATGTGATTTAGGTTGTGTTTTGTTAGTGTTTGAAAAAAAATAATATAAAAGAGATAAAACAATGTTTTTAGGGAGATTTTTAGATGATTTTTTATCATTTCACAATAGAAATGACATAAAAATATATTATTTTTGTTGTATCTGTTTTTTCTATCATGAGATTATAACCAAAATTAAATTGCTATGTATGTTTTACATCTTCGCAAAACCATTCAACAAAACTAAACATGTTTGGGGCATTTTTAGCAATTCATGCGAGTGAAAGAGATGCAAATCTTGTTTTATCAGAATTGGTAGATCCAGCACCAGTTCCTTTACCTTAACCACTGGCTTTGCGGCTCCCTTTGATTTTAGCACACAGTGTCACTATTTGTACAGAAAATACTACATGTTTTTCTATTTTTATACAAAATCTAGGTTGGAATTCAAACTTTTTAATCAAAGAAAAACACGAATCTCAGTTAAGTTACTACTCATAGTCAAAACACTGCATGTTCAGATGTCTTTAATTTACAAAGAACTGTCATCTCCCCCTTTTCATTTCCATGAAATATTCACCGATGTTTTAAACTAGATCTCTTATTTGGATCTGTCCGTGTGTGTAACTCTCTAATCTGTCTTGTAATTAGGACTTTGTTTCCATTGCCATGTAGAAAAGCTTGCTGCTCCCCGTGACATTTGTTGGAAACCCGCGCCATTTGCAAGTTGGGACGTCAGAGAAGCGCCGAAATATGAGGGACAGTTTTCTATTCAAAGATTACACAGGGGATACTTGCAGGAGCGCATGAGATCCAGCTCATTTGACCGAGCGTGTTTGGATATCGTGCAGGTAACGTGGGTTCCGAGCTTGGAACCGCTCGAGGTCTGAGGATTCATTCATAGAAGTCTCAATCCAGGTTGAGAATTCTCGGCATGTTTGGATAATCTTAAGATATCAAGATCAATCCACCGATATGATTGTTGGATTTACATGTGAGCAAGTTAGCGGATGTGGATGCCACCTAACCACTTGACATTTCGTCGATGGAGGAAACTTCCCATTGACTTGCACGTCATTTTCCTACTAGTTGTTGTGAACCTATAGCTATATGAGCTTTCGTATTTTGCTTCCAATCATGGATCTTCGATGCACGATCCATGTCGACAAATAGATGTTCAGAACCAAAAAAAAAACTAAACGCATCAAATGACATTTATGAATAAAAAAATCATGATTTCATCTAACTTTTGAATCTCATTTAGATTTTACTATAATGTTTTACAATCTTTGTTTTTTACCAATCATCTAATTTGTTTTTGAATTTATTAAATTATATTATTTATTTTAAATAAATTTCCATACTATTTAATATAAAATTTAAGTGCCGTTTAATGAGATTTGATTATATTATAAAAAAATCTTTGTATTCTCAACATTTTTTTTTTTGAAATCTAGTAAAAGAATAGCCCAACCGCAATTGAGGCAAACAAATATATTAGTAACTAGAAGATATATTAGGGTTGAAAGATGTTTTTTTTTTCTTTCTAGTTTTAAATTTATTTTTATTTGGACTTTTACATTTTATTTGATTTAAATTATCTCATATCTTTTGTGTGTTACTTTTATCATCAAACTTTATATCCAAGATCTAAAAATTTCTCTGTGGTTAAGAAAAAATGTGATTCAAAGATTTCTTATCTTTTGCTACACATCAGCGTCCAGTAAATTTATAACTTGATCAACACGCATTGTGCTGGAAAGAGCCCCATGGCACATGGCAAGCAGACCTTTGGTGCTTAAACGTTGGCAACCGAACATGCAATTTTTGAAAGGTGCTTTGGTCAAAGTTCCGGTATGGGTTAGGCTGTATAATGTTCCTCTTGCGTATTGGACTATTAAGGGGTTGAGTTGTGTAGCGAGTGCTATTGGGGTTCCTCTTCATGCTGATCAGCCTACATTGTTGCGTCAAAGGCTTAGCTACGCAAGAGTTTGTGTTGAGATTGATGCTACGAAGACGGTGGTTAAGGAATACGACCTTCGCTGTCCAAATGGGTTATTCATAACAATTTCAGCTGATTACGAATGGATACCATCAAAGTGCAATAATTGTAATGTCTTTGGACACACGACAGCGATATGTGCTACTAATAACGGTGAAAATCTTACAATGGAGGCAGAGGGTAAGAGGAAAGTAGGAGTTGCAAACTCTAAATCTGCGGATAAGAAGCAGAATCAGTTTCAATGGCAGGTAGTTGCTAAACAAAAGAAGGGTTCTGTGAGTGGTGAGAATGGTCCTTTGGCATCTAAAGTGCGTAACTGTAATGAGAATGGTTGTTCGACATCTGGTACAAATATTTCTGATCGTAATATGAATGACAAGGCTGCATCAGATGTGAGCAATGCTGATTGTTATGAAGATGAAAATCCTACATCTCCTCTTGTTTTGAAGAGTTCACAAGGAGCCATGAAGCAGGAGCAGGGGGGTACATGTACTGCTTCAGATCAAAGTTTAGCCATCTCCAATACGTCTGATTGTGCAACCGAGGACCAGGTTCTTTTCGTTAATAGTCATGAGCTGAATGTAGATATTGACGCAATGGGAGGTGATACAGATGGGGAACGAACTGATAAGGAGTGGACGTCACCAATCCCGACAAGCCCACAAACTCTGAATTCCAACGAAAGGGAAACTGTTAATCAGTTGGCTATTAAGGCTAGAGACTCTCTAGAGAAAAAGAAAAAGGGTTCGAAAAACTCTTCAAAGAAGAATAAGAAATCTGTCTCCTCGCCTGGGGGCACGTCGAGGTAATCTTTGTGTTGCTGTTTGTACTCCTCTCTATTTTCTTATGATTATTGGATGTTGGAATGTAAGAGGTTTGAATGATCCCATAAAGCATTCAGCATTGCGTCAGCTCATCCATCAAGAGAGGATGACTCTTTTCGGTTTGGTTGAAACTCGGGTTAGAGACGAGAATAAATATAATGTTTCTCAACTTCTTCTGCGTAATTGGTCCTTCTTGTATAATTATGATTTCTCTTGTCGTGGTCGTATTTGGGTTTGTTGGAATGCTGATGTGGTGAAGGTTGATGTCCTCGGAATGTCAGACCAGGCTATTCACGTTTCTGTCACTATATTAGCTACCAATATCTGTTTCAATGCTTCAATTATATATGGAGACAATAACGCTTCCTTACGTGAGGCATTATGGTCTGATATAGTGAGTCATAGTGATGGATGGGAGTCCAGCCCATGGATTCTTATGGGCGACTTTAATGCTATCCGCTACCAATCAGACAGGTTAGGAGGGTCTACTTCGTGGGCTGGTCATATGGACAGATTGGAAACATGTATTCAAGAAGCGAAAGTGGATGATCTTCGATATTCAGGCCTGCGTTATACTTTGTCGAATCAATGTCCTGAGAATCTGATTATGCGGAAACTAGATAGAGTGCTTGTCAACGAGAAATGGAATCTGAACTTCCCCTTTTCAGAAGTGAGATTTTTTTCCCCTTTTCAGAAGCGAGATTTTTGCCATCGGGTATGTCAGACCATTCTCCTATGGTGGTAAAGGTTACTGGTGATTATCAGAATATAAAGAAACCATTCAGATTCTTTGATATGTGGATGGACCATGACGAGTTCATGCCCTTGGTGAGGAAAGTATGGGAACACAATTCAGGGGGTTGTCCAATGTATCAGCTGTGTTGCAAGCTAAGAAAACTAAAACGGGAATTGAAACTTTTCAATATGACTCACTTCTCCAACATTTCAGAATGCATTTCAGATAGAGTCCAAGATGCGAAAGATGAAATGGATAAGGCTCAACAGGCTCTCCATACAGCACATGGGAATCCAACTTTGTGCATGCGAGAAAGGGATGCTGTACGTAACTACGCTTCTATCGTCAAAGCCGAAGAGAGTTTTTTCAAACAGAAGTCAAGGATACAGTGGCTTAGCTTGGGGGATCAGAATACTGGCTACTTTCACAAATCAGTAAATGGAAGACAGCATAGAAATAAACTTCTTTCACATACAAAGGAGGATGGAGAGGTTGTCGAAGGACATGAGGCAGTTAAATCAGAAGTCGTTGCGTACTTCCAGCGTGTGTTAAGAGTGGAACAGATGCCTAGGGTTCTGAATGAGGAAGAGATGGAATCGGCAATTAACTTGAAACTGTCTTCAACGCAACAACATGTATTAGCACAAGATGTAACAAGGGAGGAGATTAAGCATGCTATGTTTAGTTTGAAGAACAACAAAGCCCCTGGTCCGGATGGATTTAACGCAGGTTTCTTCAAAAGAATGTGGCACATAGTTGGGGAGGATGTAATCAATGCTGTTAGCTCCTTCTTTCAGACTCGGAGAATGCTTAAAGAAATGAATGCTACATCCATTTCCCTTATTCCTAAAGTTGCCAATCCTACGAGGTTGACAGATTTTCGTCCTATATCTTGCTGCAATACCGTGTACAAATGCATCGCTAAGATTCTAGCTGGGAGAATCACAGCTATTTTGCCATCCTTAGTAGGTCCGTATCAGACTGCTTTTATCTCTGGACGGAGAATCAGCGACAACATTCTTTTGTCTCAGGAACTAATGAAAGGCTATCATAAATCTACGGGACCTGCCTGTTGTGCTATGAAAGTAGATCTGATGAAGGCTTATGACGTTTGGTGGGATTTCATTGACGTTATGTTAAGAAAAATGGGATTCCCTAGAACAGTCGTTGATTGGATTATGGTTTGTGTTCATGAAGGCTTATGACTCGGTTCGGTGGGATTTCGTTGACGCTATGTTAAGAAAAATGGGATTCCCTAGAACAGTCATTGATTGGATTATGGTTTGTGTTACATCATGTCAATTCTCTCTCAACGTCAATGGTGAGCTTGCAG